CCACCTTAGTGACTTCTGGGGGCATCCATACCATCTGGGCTCTTTCCAACTCACCAACAGCACCTGCTGGATCCTTAAGGTAACTACAAGTTTTACTTTTCTCCATTAGATTTTATTTGTTTTTTTGAGACAAGTCCCAGTAGTCTAATAAATGTCACTGCTTCTGGGATGTTCATGGGCCCTGCCCAGACCATCCTCAAAAAAAAAACACAAAAAACAAAAAACAAAACAAAAAAAAAACCCAACCAACCAAACAAAAAAAACCACCAAAAAACAGTTTCCAGTTTGTGAACTAGTTAACAGATTCATGTCATTATAAAAGAACTCCTCTGAACGAACATGACTCACCAAAGTTCACACACACACACACACACAGACATGCAGAGTTGCACCCTAGGCTGAGGAAGGAGCCTGCCCTCACTAAAAGGAAGTTAAGTGAGGCAAGAGGGACTGTGCACTAACCAGGTGAATCCTCCCCCAAGCTGTGGAAGCTGCTCACTTCTCTCACACACAGAGCTGGGGCATCTTCCCAAGGTCAAAAGGTGATGCAGTTGCTGGCCTGCCTGGATGGGGGCCAAGCCACTGACACTAGGTGAAAAGGCCTTGAAGAACAAAAGGGACTCTGTATGCTTGGGCAGTCCAGAAGGGTGTGGAAAGGAGAGGGGTGGCCTCAGGGGATGGACCAGTCTGGTTTCCTTGATGGGTGGGACTCCAACAGGGAGGGTGGGTGTTAGTGGTGAGGCACCTTCCCTGCTGTGAAGCCAAAGGTGAGCTTGCTTGGAGACTTGTGTTCTGTCCTAGGCACTCAGTTTTCTTCCTGCCCTTAAATTCCTCTCATTCAGGCTCATTTAGTTCTTTCCACTAACAGATAAACTGTCACACCCCAACACCCGGTCCTATGAAGGAAAGGTCCCAGAAAAAAATGTGTATCTTCAAACCGAACCTTCTGCAGGACTGATCAACCGACTGGAACTTCAATGATTGTGGAGTTTGGAATGTTGCTGGTCTAGAGCCTGAATTTATCTTGGGTCATCTCTAGTGCCTAAATAGAGACTCCTTGTCCACATCTGTGTCTGACTTGACATCTTATGACTAATAGATAAAAACCTTTTGGAATGTATTGACTTAGCAGACCACCAGCTTCCACCAACCCAAGGGCTAAGAAGCCTGCCAGACAGCATCTAAGAATTCTCCCTGCTTTGCTGTAAGTTGCCTCTCTGATGTTTCCACCAATATATTTGAAAAGTACCTGGTTTATTGCTTTCTTTGTTCTGTTACTCTAATAATTGCATCAAACTGCTACCATGTGGGAACATGTGAGCATTTGTGGTAACCTGAATCTGTGTTCCCGGGCCATGGTCACTCATATTTGGCTCCAGAATAAATTATCTCTTTTCCCCTCTGCTGCAAGAGTTGTATATTTGTGTCGACATTCCTGTGAGGTGGCTGTGGAAAAAGAGGCTATCCAAAGAATGACTACCTGCCTCTGCTTTTGCACTCAGCCCTTGTTAGTCCTGGGCCTGACTTGGACTCCAGCAATAAGATGTCAGTGGGTGTCGAGCTAGAAGCTCAGTCTCAAGTCAGCTTCGGTGCTGTAACTCCCTGACATCACCTTTAACTCTCAGGACTGGGCTTTCTCCTTGGCACCTGAGACCAGGTCCTCTCCTTTCCTGTCTTGGCCTCCGAGTCCCTCTTTGCTTTTTCTCTGTGCTCAGATACGCTGACCATTTCCAGCCTATTCACTTGCAAAGTGGGTCAGTGCCTCATTCGGGAAGTGAGGTGGTGGAAAGGGTGTGGGCTGTACACTAGAGCTCTGAAGTCAGAGAGCCATCACATCTCCTTGCTACTGGATCATCAACTAATGACCTACAGGAACTTTAATTTTCTTGCCTAAAACTTGGGAATAGCATACAAGTTACAAGGGGATTGTGGTGCTCCAGAGGAGAACGTAGGAAAGTACCCAGTATGGAGTTGCATACTGGGTACTTTCCAGTACAGGCTCACTCTCCTCTGTGCACCAAAGCCTTTGCTCTGCCTTCTGACAGAGCTGAGGTTACTTTGACTCAGTAAGCCACAGGAAGACTCTTCAGGGATGCTGTAGTAGAGATTTCCCTTTCTTCTGGGTGACAGACCCTCAGCGTTTTTAACTCTGCACAGTTGGCCCACCTGAAACATTTCCCAACCTCCTTAGCATGGGGTTACTGTGTCCCTTGGATCTGGCCAGTGGGGGTAGGTAGAAGTGCTCCCTGTGACTTCCGAGAGGAGGGATGCACATTTTCCTTCCTTTGACATTCATTAAGGGCTGGGATGAATCATGGTGGTTGGAGCCCCAGTGGCCCTTTCAACACGAGGTGGAAGGAACAGGTAGAAATTGTAGAACAGGAAGGCTTTGGGATCTTCTTGTGGACTTCATCCATATGAGACAGAATTACCTTGTATCTTTCAGTTTTCTTTAACTTCAGTTCTCATTTTGATTATTATAGTCTCTCTGCTTGACTAAGGTTTCTCCTTGGGTATTTATTGGAACTTCACTGCAGGCCTTCAGAAAGCCTTCAGAGGCCTGCGGCAGAAGAGAGGGTGCCCCCGTGGCATTTCTGAATCTGGAAACATGGGTTTCCAAGGGCTGCAAATTCCAGGGAGCCCGAGGAGCATCTTGACTCTGAAGTGTGAGTTAATGCCAGAGGAGAGGCAAGGGAACCCACTTTACTAGAATCTATAATTCAGAAGCTGTTGTTAAACATGTATGTATATACATACACATATACATATTATGCAGGAGCATGCATATTGCCTTCATTGAATGGAGTTAATAAGGGAGAAAATAAATTTGATAGCACATTAAGGAACTGCACCAGCCTTATTGATGTGGCATCTGAAGCTGTTCTTACCTGCCTGATGGCCTCAGAGAGCAATCCACAGCTTTGTACTTACAGCAGGGTGTGAATCTGGGCTACCACCAAATCAAATATAGACTATTCCCAGAACGGTCTAGTGTGGCACACAGACCAGTGGCCTGTCCTCACACTGCTTGTGACCAGTTTGGAAAGAGGTGGGGACTTCAGTCAGGATGAAGAGCTGCTTCATCACTGAGCAAATTGTTTCTTCCAGTTCACATTTTCTTATATGTGTATATGCATGTGTGTGTGTTTATGCATGTGCACATGTGTGTGGGTACATATGTACGTGTACACATGCATGTCAACCTCAAGTGCCATTCCTCAGGCAGTATCCAATTGACTTGTTTTTTTGAGGCAGGGCCTCTCAGTGGCCTAGAACTTGACAAAGGCCAAGCTGGCCAGCCAATGAGTCTCAGGGATCTCCCTGTTTCTGCTTCCCCGGGACTGAAATTTTAAGCAAGTACCACGATATTCTCTCTCTCTCTCTCTCTCTCTCTCTCTCTCTCTCTCTCTCCATTCCTTCATTCCTTCCTTTCTTTTTTAATTAGAATTACTTTTTAGGGGCTGGAGAGATGGCTCAGCAGTTAAGAACACTGTTCTTGAGGAAGACTCGGGTTTGAATCCCAGCACTCACGTGGCAGTTAACAATTGTCTGTAACTCCAGTTCTAGGGGATCTGACAGTCTCTTCTGTCCTCCATGGGCATTGCACGACATGGGTGCACTTACTCACATGCAGGTATAACACCCATACACATAAAAACTAAAAAAAAGAAGAATTCCTTTTAAAAAATAACATGATTACATTGAAAAACTTTGTATAGATTTTGGAATTTGGAAAGGGAGTGAATGCTAAATTCACATTACACTAGTGTGGGTTCTGAGGATTAAATTCAGGTCCTTATGCTTGTAAGACAACCACTTTACAGACTGAGCTATCTCCCTAGCCCCTAACATGTTCCTTTTGGAGAAGGATTTGCTCAGTGAGGGCAGCAATGGAATGATACACTCTCTGAACACAGGCTCTCTACCCAGTTGCAGACAGCATTTGAGTGGCACTGCTACAGAATATGGCTGTGTTATTAGGGAACATTAAATACATATACATACACCTATCCCATCTGTCCTTCCATCCATCCATCCATCTATCCACCCACCCATCTATCCATCCATCCACCCACCCACACATCCAGACACCCACACACCCATCCACATACCCACACACCCACATATACACCCATCCATCTACCCACCCACACATTTATCCATCCATCCATCCATCCATCCATCCATCCACTTGGTCCTTCTCCACACCAAATAAAATCAGACTCTCTGAGGATGGGTCCACATATTGGTATGACAATAGAGCAGCAAAGTTTCTTCTGAGCAAGATTCTTGCTGGAGACACAGCACTGGGATATGACAGGAGGAAGGAGACCTCAGAGCTGCCTTTTCAAAATCAAAGTGATATGAGCATCTATATGCGCTTATTTAGACTTAAGCTGCCCTTGTTGGGCACAACAAATTTTAGCAAGAGTCTTACCTGGTTCTTTGTCATTTATTATGTACCAATTTGCTGGGGCTAGTGAATGACCTTGAGCAATTTAAACCTGGAGTTTTATTTTTTTTAAGTCAGGGTTTCATGTAGCCCAAACTGGCTGTAGCTGAGGATGATCTTAAATTTCTCATCTTCCTGCCTCTGTTTCCCAAGCGCTCATATTATATGTATGTATCACCACACCTGGTTTATAAGTGCCGGCAATCAAACCCAGGGCTTCTTGTATCCTAGGCAAGGGCTCTGTCAACTAAGCTGTATTCTCTGGTCCAACCTGGAATATTTAATAGTTTCTTTCTATCAGCTTTGGTTTATACTGTAGTTTTTCCTAAGTTTTCAGTCCCGACTGAATTTGTTATTAGCTCATGAAACCCAGCTTATCCAAAGCCAATACAAAATCGGAAAAATTTCTCACTTCCTTCTAGGACAGTGTGCCCCTTGCTCTACCACTGTTGCCACCAAACACCTCATAGAAACAGGCTGATGATTCCCAAATGGTGGCATCTATGCATGACTCCAAGGGAATGGAATCATACCCACTGTCCCTTACCAGCAGTTCCCAGGCTCAGCAGCACAGCCACCCAGAGGACCCAGAAGAAAATGAGGATGGCGAATGTCCACAGTGGCTGGAACAGCAGGAAAGGACAGCTGCTGATGGCTTTATTTGTGACTTGGAAAAGGTCAACTGTCAATTTCATTCTCTTTCTGAGGACAAAAATCAAGACGAGTAGAATAGCCTGGTGAGAAAGGAATTAGAGTGAATTACTGTGAAATGATGAGGAATTGGCCAGAGCTTAAAATAAACTCTACTGGTGTCTCATCAAGCAGCTTTATTTATGATATTCACTACTTCTGTTAGAGCAGAACAGATACATTTTCAAGCACTAACTGAACCCCTACTGTGTGCTGGGCTCTATATGAAATCCTACAGACGTAATAATGGACAAAGCCTAGTCCCTCCTAGAGGAGTGTACATGTGGTTAGAGAGCAAGAGAAGGTGAGACTAAGATCATTTAAGAGTCAAGTAGCTGTTTTCCATTTCCCCTCCTCCACACAAGATACTCAGAGACGAGCTGCAGACAGAATATAATTACAGAGTTAAGAGACAATGAGTTCATCTCAAAGCAACCCTCTTGCCATTCCACTGGCTTTTCCCTCCCTGTACAGAAATAACTACAAGTCTCCCAGATTAAAGAAACCGCCTCCTTCACCCCCACGTCCACCAGCCTTCTCTGCTGTGTCTTCATGGTCAAGCTTCTCCCTTGTCTATGGTCACCCCCCGCCCCACTTCCACACCCTAACTCACTCCTCAGTCACCACAAATTCTCTGACCTCAACACTCTCCTGAAACTGCTCTCCCTAAGGTCACACCTGTGGCCTCCTAGGTGGTAAGTCTCATGGAACATTCTGAGTTGTTTCAGGCTGGAATTCAGTCGCTTGAATCTCAGAGCTGAGTGAGGTTGGCTACTCAGCTTCTGGAAGGGCATGTCTTACCGTGATGACTGTGGTGACAATGGCAAAGGCCAGCACACACTTCATATTCTGCCTCTCTGTGTCCAATTCTATGCTGAGGTCGTTGGTATAGTCATAATACAGCCACCATAAGACTCCACAGACAACTAAAAAACAAAACAGCAGCAGGCTCAGTACATATGTCCTCAGATGCCTTTCCCTTCTCCTCACATACATCCAGACCCACTCCCCCAGAAGTCCAGGCACTGCTGGCTGACCCAGTGGTCCTGTCCAGTGGGTCCCAGAGGCTTTTCCACCCACTATTTGTCTCTAGGTGAGTGGGGCAGAGCCAGGTCAGCCCGCAGAGACAACTTGCTGGTACCTGGGCAGCTGCTGGTCTTTGGCACACCTGGGGAGGTGAATGCAGAACACGGGTCTAGCCCACAGGTTGGATCTGAGAGTGATCAAGAAGGAACTAACACCAACAGCATGGAGAGGGGTATGAATTAGAGTTCAAGGCCTAGAGTGTTCACATAGCTCTCCTGGCAACAGGACCCTGAATACTGTCTTCTTACCTTCAAAGTCAGGTGATTTTCATAGACATGGGAACTATGGGAACTATGTAAGTCAGTTGACTGAAGATGTGCCTTTGAAGGGCATATGGGGACACTAGTTCTCTGCTTCCTGGTAGCCATGAGGTAAGCAGCTTTGCCATGTGTTCCCACCATGAGAACACAACCACATAGCCCAGTGACCATGAATGGAGCTCTCTGAAACTGTGGGTCATAATATATCTTCTTTTTAATTGATTTGTACAGGTATTTTGTCACAGTGATGAAAAGCTGACTAACCCAAGAATTCAAGGCTCCACATCCCTACAGCAATTGGAAAACATGGCTTCTGTCCCTCAGATAACCTTTTCAAAAACTCCTGGGGAGACTCACAAGCCATCAACAGATAGGGTCCCCAGATTTCTGTTCCTGCTCAGACTTGCTCTTCAGACTGGCCAGGGTTTTTTGTGTGACAACTTTGGGCATCCATACGCCCAAGCAAAAGTATAGTCCAGAAGAAATCCTTCGAAATGCTCCCAACAGACTAGAATTCTTTCTTTTTAAAAAATATTTTATTTACTATTTTTATTTTATGTGTATGAGTATATTGTCTGCATGCATGTAAGTGCACCCCTGTCATGCAATGCCTGTGGAGGTCAAAGAGGGCATTGGATCCCCTGGAACTGGAATTATGGATGGTTGTTAGCTGCCATGGGAGTGGTGCTGGGAATAGAACCCAGGTTCTCTGCAAGAGCAGACAGTGCTCTTAACCACTGAGTCATCTCTCCAGCCCTCTGGAATTCTTTCTTAATATGCCGGTAAAATATACGTGGTTGTTTTTTTTTTTTTTTTTTTTTTTCTCCAGTGCTGAGGATTGAATGAAGGGCCTTGTGCATGCTTGGCAATCATTCTGTGCTCAGCTACGTCCCCAGCCCAATTTTATGGATACCAGGATCACTCAGTTGGCAGGCTTATCTCAGGGACTACCTGGTAGAGAAGAATCAAGGAAGACAGATTGGACATCACTGCTGCTCTTTGTGAGACATAAGCAACTCCTATTGTCCTCCCTGGCTTGCTTTTTCTCATATGCAAAATGATGGGAGTTGGACTGGAAACCCTCTAAGACTCCATTTAGCTTAAAAAAAAAAAAAAGCCACCTTTTAAATTCTATACTTAATAGAAAGGCTTTTCATTTACTCAAAACCAAATTGGTCCAGTGGAAATACTTACACAGCAATCCTAAAATAACCAACGAAATAATAATGTGAACCAGAAGAGTGGTGATGAATCGGTAGGTGAACATCAAGGCCAGAGACAAGGCTGAAAAGGTAAACAAAGCACATGAAACCCAACAACAAGGAAGGAGACGGGGAGGAGAGGGAGAAGGGGGAGGAGAGATAGGAGGGGGAGGAGGGAGGAGGGGGAGGAGGGGGGAATGGTGCTGATCACAGAACTGTGATGACCAAGCCCTCCAGAAAGTGGGGGTTGACAGGCTGACTCAACATCCACATATCTTGGGAAACCTACCAAATACCAAATAAAAATGACAATATGCCAAATGAGGTACGTAATGCAAATTTAGTCAGGTTCAGTAAGCAGGATGCCAAACATGCTAGTATTCTTCTTGAGTTTAAATCATAAAAAGTCACCTTGAGTTAAATCATTATTATTTGAATAAATAATAAAAAGGTGAATCTCTATGAGTTTGAGGCCAGCCTGGTTCATGTAGCAAAATCCAGGGCAGTCAAGGCTACATAGTAAGACTCTGACTAAAAACCAAACCAAACCAAAACCTTAAAATGTTTTTAGATACTTTTATTAAATCTGAAAGAATAATACCCTTAAAATGAAAAAAATTCAAATTCTAATTATTAAATAAACTACATGTAAAATATTGCATTTCATATTCCAGTATTTGGGCTTTTATGCTTCTGAAATTTTCTAAATATTTCAATGACTCTATGAACACTGTTTCTCCTCAGTAAAAAGTTAGGAGTGCATACAGACATTTCAGGATTGTGGCTCTCACCAATATGACTAACATGGGTTTTGGAATCAGATCTGGGGTTGAGTCTCAGCTCTGCCACTTTTTTTTACAAACCTTTCCACAACCATGGCCAAGACACTTAGCCTCTTAAGTCTCAGTTTCCTTTCTAAACGTGGAGCAAAATCCTGATGAGATTTCAGTGAGTTTAGACTAAGCACAATGCTTGGCACATGCTATGTGCTCAGTAAACAATACTGTTAGAATCACGAGTCTAACAAGGAAACAGGCCTTGCGGGGACATTAGGCCATTGACTCTGTTCTGGCCTTTTCTCCTATCTATGGTTGCCACACTAGTATCTAGAAGTCAAAGCAGGGTCGTTCTCTACCTAAATAAGAAGTCTGGAAGTTATGTAATGTTGCAGTGAAGCTTCTTCAAGCATTCAGGATTCAGTAAGCTTTTGTAAACAGGCAGTCACATGTTAAAGGCTGACCAGAGTCTCTTTCAACCCCAAGGTTGGAGGGCTGCTCTTGGAAAGGGGCTGGGTAGGTAGGAAGCTCCAACTATTGCCCAAAGCAACAGAGTACATTATCCTGTTCATATAGGAAACTGGCTCTTAACTGTCTCAGCAAGGTGAAACACAGAGCCTGGGAAGCCAGAGGAAGAGAGGGGAGCTGCTTTTAGGAAAACAGCCAAGGAGGCTCAAAGCAGGTAGGTCCCTATCAAGGGCTGGCATTCTGGGCATTGCATTCTGACACGGACTATGACGGACAGGGGCTCCTTCCCTTGTTCACCCAGCAGCCTTCTGATCTGGCAGGAGGCACAGCAGAGCTGGTTTCTGGTGCCCCTGATACTTGTACTTTTCATGGCTAATTCATAAGCTGGCTATCTGCTTTATTTGCCTATCTCTTATGCAGAACAAAAGACTAGAAGAAGGTCAAAATATTAACTCAGTTCCGCCCAGTGCAGCCAATGGCAGGAAGCCATCCGGTCTTACTCCATTTTACTGCCCTATGTCCATACTTGAACCTGAAACACTGACCATATCTATAAAGAAAACAAATATGAAACTTTATATTTAAGTCAAAAATGCCCATTTTCATCACACTACATATTTAAGTGCTAGAAAATTTGGCATTCCATACAGTTACTAAAATAAAAGAATTACCTAAGGCAAGGGTACACAAACCAAGGATGGTGTCTCTTCCTGACATTATTCCACTTAGAATTCGATGGAGGTTGTCAGCGTCATTTATCAACACTGATGCAAATAAGGAATAGCATTCGGGTGTCTGAGGGATGCACCGGTTAAATAAGGGAAAAGATTTGCTGAAAATAAAAGGTAGAATTGATGGCAATAATGTTATTTCTCTTTAAAATATGTATATATTTAAAATTTTCAACATTCCCAAACCATAAGCTCTATAATTTTAAAAAATATTTTATTTATTATTTTTATTTTATGTGTATCAGTGTATTGCCGGTATGTGTGTGAGTGCACCTGTGTTGTGCAATGTCTATGGAGGTTAGAAGAGGGCATAGGATCCCCTGAAACTGGAGTTATGGATGGTCATTAGCCACCATGTGGATGCTGGGAATTGAACCCAGGTCCTCCGCATGAGCAGTCAGTGCTCTTAACTGCTGAGCCATCTCTCCAGCCCCAGTATAAGCTCTATAATTATAAAAAGGGGGTTATGTGATGGTTCAGTGAGTAAAGACGCTTGCCTTGCAAGCCTGATGACCTGAGTTAGATTCCCAGAATTTATGTAAACATGCAAGGAGTGAACTGATTCCACAAAGTTCTCCTCTGACCTCCACATGCCCACCACAGCACACATGCATGCGAGTACACACACATAAATAAAATATTAAAATTTAATGAAAAAGGAGTTCAGCAACCCACTTGCAAAGCACATCTTAGAAAGCCAGGCATCCTTCCTCTACAACAATGATTAGTTGAAGCTTGGGATGAGAAACTGATAAGGGGAACCCTTAAAAGCCAAAAACATACACTCCAGGAAATATAGTTATTTTGGGGGGCCGGAATCTAGACCTTTCCTGTATGTTAGTCAAGTGCTCTGCCACTGAGTTATACCCCCAGCCCAAGGAGTATCATTTATAAAGTAAAATTGTACCTATTTAAGAGGTGTAATGTGATGTTTTGAATATAAATGCATATTGTGAAATGATTACTCCAGGCAAACATTGACCTATTATCTCACATAGTTACCATTGTTTTCTGTTTTAATTAATTAATTATATGATTAATTTTTGGTGTGTGTATGTGTGCATATGGGGGTGCTTGTAGATTCATATAGGGCACCCGAGTGTCCTCAGGAGCACCGTCTACCTCACTTGAAACAGGGTCTCTTGTTTGCCTGGAGCTCACCAATCAGGCTCAACTACCTGGCCAGTGAGCCCTGGGGATTCTCCTCTCTCTGTCTCCCCAGACCTGGATTAGAAATGTGTACCACCATGCCCAGCCTTCTCATGTGGGTTCAGGGGATTGAACTCGGGACCTCATGATATTGCTGTTGTTGTTGTTGTTTTGAGACAGGATCTCCCTGTAGCCCCAACTGGCCTGGAACTCACTATATAGACCATGCTGGCCTCAATCACACAGAGATTTACTTGCCTCTGCCTCCTGAGTGCTGGGACTAAAGGCATGAGCCACTATGCCTGGCCTTTTTTAGAAGTAGGGAACAACATTTTGAATTCTTGTGTTTTGGTCCTTCTTAGACTATCAACTCCAGCATAGAAATAAATTGTTCCTCCTTTTCTTTGTGTGTATGTTATATGTACATGTTCATATGTGTGTTCACAGGTGTATGTACATGTGTGGAGGCCAGATGTTGATGTCACCTGACTTCCTCTGTTGCTATCTATCTTTTTTGAAAGATTTATTTTATTTTTAATCGTGTATGTGTGTATGTACATGCATGTGGGTGCGGTGCCCAAGGAGGCCAGAGACAGCAGATTCCCCTGGAGCTAGAGTTACAGGAGGTTGTGAGCTGCCTGACATGGATGCTGGGAATCAAACTCAGGTGTTCTGCCAGAATAGTAAGTTCTCTTAACTGCTAAGCCATCTCTCCAGACTTCTACCTTGTGTTCTGAGACAGGGTCTCTTCACTGAACCTGGAGTTCATTCATTGCCTCAACTGACTGGCCAGTGAGCTCCAGGGAGCCTCCTGTCCTCACTCTCTCAGTGCTGGGGTTACAGGTGCATGCCACTGTGTTCAGATTTTATGTGGGGACTGGGCTTCTGAACTCAGGTCCTCATGCTTGAGCAGTAAGTACTTTACCTGTTGAGCCATCTCCCCAGCCCCCAAGTTACATTTCTTTAAGCAATAGTTAGGGGCATGGGCTGGGCCAAGGAGAAACTGTATCAATGGCAGTGGAGGCTTACTTCTGTCCTCTTTAGAAAGTTAAACAAAGCTTGAGAGTCATGTGATATCCAGAGTAGATGTTTAATAAACAAATAATAAATGTATAACTGATACCTTCAGTCAGTCAGTGTGAAAGCTTTTTTTTTGGGAATCCTTTCTGAAATATAGAAATGCCCAGGAATACCCATTCCAAAGAAACCTCATGAAGCCATAGATTCCTTCACACTCCCTGTTCTCCCCCAACCCCTGTGGACCCCAAAGAGTGGGGAAAAAAATCCCAGTCTAAGAGGTACTGGATTATCTAACAAGTTGTTGAAAACCTAGGTAGCTGCCAGACATGATGGCCTATGCCTTTAATCCCAGCACTTCGAAGGCAGAGGCAGGTGGATATCTGTGAGATCAAGGCTAGCCTGGTCTACAAAGTATGTTCTAGTCCAGGGAGTCTCTGTCTCAAACATAAGAATGAAAAATAAAGGACTCAGAGGTTAAGAGCACTGACTGCTCTTGCAGAGGACCCAGGTTCAGTTCCCAGCACCCACATGGCAGCTAACAACTGTCCATAACTCCAGTTCCAGGGGAATCCGATGCCCTCTTCTGACCTCTATAGGCACTGCACAACACAGGTGCACTTACACACATACAGAAAATACACTCATACACATAAAATAATAAAAAATAAAGAAAGAAAAGAAAACCTAGGTAGCCACCTTTTTAAAAAATGTATGAAGAGGAAACAAAAAAGTCCCCAAATGGAAACAATAGGGTCACATTGTTGTCAGAAAAGATGACCTCTGAAACTCCTGGTGAAGCCTACCATGGAATGTACAGAAGAATCTTCATTGGGCAGTCAGGATATTCTAGAAAGAATTCCAGAGTCACTGAATAGTGATTTAACTGAAGAGTAACACAGTGGGAAAATGAAATTTAAATGAAAGTTTTGAAGTGGTAGAACATTCACATGATTCAGTTCTAAAAGGTACAATAAACTATCGCTCCAGCAGCTGCCCTTCCTTGTGTCCGAGGCACTGGGCTGGGAACCATTGTTGGTTTCTTGTACCTCATTCTAGAGACATTTTACAGCGTGTGTAAATGTAACAGGAAATCCAAATGGAAGTGTGCGACTGAACTTGAAGATAACAAAAATCATACTCCCCAAACGAGAAGCAGGGCCCACTATGTAGAGCTTGCCAAAAAAGAGGGAGGGGAAAATGAGTTAGATTTTTCTTAACTTGTACGTTCACATCAAGAACATAAAAGGGTTGGGAGTTGGTTAAAAGGGCATTTTGAAAGATAAACTTTTAATTTTGGAGCAATATTAGAGTTACCGAAAACCCTTAAAGATGGAACAGAGAGTACTGTGACCCTCGGCTCGCTTTCCCCTCATGTTAACATTTCATGTAACCACAGCACATTTGTGAGGGTTCAGCCTTAACCTTGGCAGTGTGCTATTAGCTAAACTACAGAGTTTATTTGGATTTCATCCTATTCCACTAATGTTCTTTTTTCTGTTCCAGGATCTAATTCAGGATATCATGTTGCATCTAGTTGTCATGACCTTCTTTGGTCTGTCAAGTTTTGTGGTTTTTTCTTTTTCATGACCTTGCTATTTCTGAAGATTCTGAGTAGATGATTTGTAAAATCTCCCTCTGCTTATAGAATTTCACTAGTGTTTTCTCATGATTAGACTGCAGTTACAGATTTGGGGGAAGGTGTCACCATCAGACAATATGCTCTTCTCAGGGACTCTCCTCAGAGAACCAGCAAGGTGACATCACTGTGAAATTGACTCTCATTAAGTTTGTCATTTTTCCCTTTCATCCCCTGTTCTTTGGAAATGAATCATTAAGTTGCTTCCTTTCAAGGAGAGGGAACTTAAGTTCCACCTCCTGAGGAAGGCTTATTATTTGGGATTCTTCTGCAAAGATTTATCCCCTTTCTTCCATTTATTTACTTGTTCAGTTAACTATCAGCTCTCCTCCTTCTCCCCCTCCCTCTCCCCCTCCTCATTCTGCTCTTTCTCCTCCCCCTCCC